AAGTATAAGTCTTGATACATTTCAACACTGTCAATCACCTTCCCCGACTCCAACATCTAAAATTCACAAGATTTTGAAAGAAATTTAGTTATACATTTCATAGCATAAGTAAGCTAACAAATTGAAATCAAATTGCGGTTCAATTGTTTAATGTATAAAACAGAAGAAAAAATAAAATCCATAAGAGAGCTCCAGATCTACTTTTTAAGGAATTTTTTAATATGATCCATATATAAGTCTGCCCGATCTAGATGTAGAAACCTCTTGATAGTTGACAAGAACACTAATGTCTCCGGTAAAATAAGATCAGAGACTCATGAATATATGATCCAAGCTCTAAGTCTAAAATGAGAAAAGGTTTATTACCTTAATGTGTCACAAAGTTACTGTGTTGTTATGAATTACATCCAAAATTCCTCATCTTCGATTCAAAATTAACCTCCAAAGTAAAACTTGACATCTTCAGCCCATACTTAGTCATAAAATATATGCGTATTTAGGGTTGATGCTAGTTACAATAAGGGAGTTTATTGTTGTTTCTGTAGGTACAGAAACAACTGTTGTAGGAAAGAAGAAAAATTGGCTAGTGTGTTGCTGCAGGACAGGATAATCCAAACAAACAAGGTGCCTGCAGGAAGAATTTGGTGGATGAGGGTCTACTACTATGAAGATTTCGGAGGCAAAAATTAAATAAATGAGATCATGCATGAAGAACTCCAATGTCAGGAAGAAGAGGGGCTCCTGCGAATTAGTTGAAGGGATTCCGACGAAGGAGGGCCTACAACAAGACTGATTCTGGCTACAGAGAGAGTTTCGGTGAGAGAGAAGAATAAAGAAGGGTCTACAGGGAGAATTTTGGCTGAGGGTACAACAGAATGAATTTTTATTGCAGGCAAGGGCTGAGAAAGGGTCTGTAAGGGGTATATTGGTTGTAAGAGAGAGTAGGAGATGGTCTGCAACCTATAGAAAGAATGTTGGTTACAGGGAATAGGAGATTTTTGATAGGCTTACAAGCCAACAAAAGACATTAGAAGGGTTATGGTGGCAAGGGAAGTTAGGGTTTGTTTCAAGGCTCTAACTGCGCAGACAACGCGATGGAACAAGAGGACGCTTCAAATAATGTTATGGAAGCTTCAAATAGCAAAATTAACAAGAGATGATATGGGATTTAGATGAAGTAATCAAGCAATCTCAATGAGTGATTCGTATGAAGATATGCGAATGATGCATATGATGCATACGGTTCAATAGAATGAAAGATGTGAACAACCAATTTGAATGATGAGTTCAGAAAATAATGTCAATCCAGTGAAGGCATCTGCCGATCAACGAGGACAGATGATGGATGCATATGAGCAATCCATTCAAAGTTGGTCGATGAAATATGCCCTAATCCAGTCAAAATTGATTCTGGAGCTCTAATACCATGCATAAAACAACCTTTGGGAGGAAAAATAATCCATACATAATTCACATGTAGAATAAATATATATATATATATATATAGTGAAACCAATCCCGCCTGATTTACAAACTTATCAAATATATCTAATCTAAATTAGGAAAGAAACTAATTTTAAAATTAAAAAAAAACATAAAATAGAAAGGGAATAATACTAAGAATATGTTTCCAAAAATAACCCCAATCAAATCTTTCCATAATTTTATAAAGTAAATTGTTGGCCTACTATAGAAAGGAGCTCAATTTCTCAGCTTTCCACAACATAAAATATATAGTTGCACATGACTGAATTTCTTTATATCACAAAATTAAATGAACCCTACCAAAGTCATATACGAACGCTAGCTCCGCCAAACCTTCCATAAGGGCTGAAAAAGCCATGTGCATTTAACCCTCTTAAATGATCATGAAGGGACTACTCCCAACTGCCTTAATTCAGGAAAGTAAAGCAAAACCTATAATCATGGGCGAAGTCATCATAAAGTGTGAAGATGGGCAAATCCCACTGTCAATCTTTTTATTACCATATAAAAACATTAGATTTTAGGAGTTTGCCCTCAATCTATGATTTTGCTCAATCCTCGCAAATATAAATATAGGAGTTTCATTTTTTGGAGTTTCATTTTTTGGGATATTGACAAGGGGAAAATTTCCTTCTAGAATGAAAATTGGGGTTTTTCACATAATTCTAATTTATCTCACTCACCTCATTCTAACTCTTTATTGGTCTCTGATTTCTTTGATAATGAAGGTTGGGATTTTTCTAAATTATGCTCTACGGTTGGGGAACAAAATGCAAAGTATATACTCACAATCCTCATCACTCCTCATAGAGATCTCCCCATGTGGAAAAGAAGCAATTCTCTATCGGCTTGCAAGCTCATTTATGACACTCTACACTCACATCGTGACTGGATATGGGGTAAATGGATTTGGCATAAATATTTATCTCCTTCTATATCCTTTTTTCTTTGGCGTTGTCTAATGTCTTAATTCCCACTGGATGATATTCTTAAGCTTAAGGGCTTGAAATTAGCCTCTAGATGTCATATGTGTAAAATGAAGGAGGAGGATATAACACACATTTTTTTTTAGTGTGCTTTCTCTTTAGAAGTTTGGGATATGATTGGCGCTCACTTTGTTTTCTCTTGGACACATAGAGGATCTTTAACTAGTTATTTATGACAATGGAAGGATTTTAATACCTGCAAGTAGAGGTTTCCCCTCCCTTTATTGGTTATGTGATTCCTTTGGAACTTCAGAAATAGTTTTAAGTATGACACCTCTCCCCCCTCTATTACTATGGTTGTTGCATATGTGATTGTCTATTATAATAAAGCTTTAAGAGCTAGCTCTTCTGTGGTTAAAGCCATTAAGGCCCCTCGGCTTATTTTGTGGGCTCCCCCGCAATGCTAATTATGTGAAAGCAAATGTTGATGGTTGTTGACATGCTGACTATGCTGCGGTTGGGGGTTTATTTAGAAATTTTGAGGAGAAATGCCTTGATTTTTTCGCTTCCCCAGTTATTGCCGAAACTTCATTGGTTGTTGAATGTTGGGGAGTCTTTTTGGCTTTAGTGGTGGCCAACATTTTCAATTTTCGTAAGCTGGAGGTGGAGATGGATTCAAAAATACTTTATGATATTTTGGTTGGTACTACTTCTCCACTATGGGATTTAGTTTGTATATTTAAAAAAATACTGGCTCTTATAGCTGAAAAACAACTTGAGGTTAACTGGAAGTTTATTCATGGAGAGGGCGATTCCCCTGCTGACTGGCTTGCCAAAAATGCAGGGGAGACTTGTCCCATTGGCATGCATCCCACTGCCCTTCTTTGGAGACTTGTCATTGGAGATACTTTAAATCTCCCCTACATTCGGTTCTAAGATTTTATGTGTTTTGGCCATCAACTGTTGCCCTTTCGGTTAAGCTGGACATTGCTGAATTTTCTCTTTTGGTTTTCCTCTATTTTGTTTGGCTTGGATGGTTTTGTCATTTATTACATGATGCTCTCTTTTTTTAAGACACGGGCTATGATGGAGTCCTTGCTCTTGGCTGCGGCACAGAGGACGGCTCCTCTACAAGACTTTCTTTGTTTTTTTTTCATTCAAGATACTTTCAAGATATACAAGCACACATGATTACTCTTTTTATTTTGGTTTTTTTTTTTTTGGTTTTGGGGTATACCTGTATTTTGGAGACTACTTTTTGAGTGAGTTGTACTACGAGAAGAGGGACCCCTAGGGGTGAGTCAAATGTATTTTTTGTGTTTTCTAGATGGGGACCTTCTCCCCCCTAGCCTTGTACTTTCTTTTTAAATATTAACACGTAGGGAGCCATCGCTGCTCTTTCTATATATATATATATATATATATATATATATATATCCAGCTTGACCACTAATGTGTGTGTGTGTTGTGTGTATATTAAATTTTACATTATTATCTATTTATCTTTCCATTTTATAAATTTGTAAAGTACACCCCAACAACCTCATTACAAGCCCTATTATCAAATAACACGTACTTTACTTGAAATTCATCAAAAGCTTTATATGTACTTTTAAAAGTTACAAGTTGGATAAATTTATTCATTTTGTGACAAGTAATTGTTAAATCCGGTTATGTAATTTTACTTGTATTATTCGAATATAGCATTTCATGTAGTGTTATGCTTTGAACTGTCCATAAATAAAAGAGTAAAGAGCCAAAATAGTCCTTTAACTATTTACATGGGGCCATTTAGGGCCCATTTGGGACAGCTTATAAGTACAGGAGGCATTTTCAAAATGTCGTCTCACCGTTTGGAGAACACATTTCGGCAGCTTATCCGAAAAAGTGGCTGGATTTTTACACTAAACGCAGACTGCGTGTCAAACCCCGCGGGTCGCATTTCAGGATAAGTTGTTTATCTGAACAAGTACAAGCTGACCCAAACGCAACCTTAGTCTCAATGTTTATAAAAGTTTCAAATTATTCTTCACTCTTTAAATTGAGAATGAAAAAATCCTTTATTGGGATTATTTTAGCCCATATTAAAAGAGTATGTGTACTATTTTGACACTTTTCTCATGAAAGGTGAGAGAACGAGTCAGACTCGTTCATTATGTCACATCAACCTTCTAATTTTTGACAATCCAATGAAATCATTGAGCTTCTCCCTCTAGGAAACACATTCTATCTCATCTTTTCTCTCATGTTCTATGCCAATTCTTGTTAATAAGGTTTTGACGTTACCCATAAACAATTTAGAATCAAACAATTCAAAATAAGCACGAGATCATTTTGTAACGTTTATTACACAATAGTGACATTCAAATAAATAGAAATTTAGAATTACCTAAACTGCATGTAAAATAAAGAAAACTAGCCAAGAACTATCAATATTATTCATGATGAACAACATGTATTGGTCATTAATACACAAATAGAAATTTTTACTAGATCTAAATAATAATTTCGACCGAAACATAAAACATAGAAAATATGCCTTTGCAATGGAAAAAGGTCCATGAGAAAATATGATATCCTCTTGCTTACCTTCATAGCAACAGTTCCGGAGCAAAGCCCTTACCACTTGGCGTGTAGAATCATCATTCTCCACCAGCAAGACCTTGAGAGTTCTCAAAGGAAGAAACCTCTCCCATCGAACAATTGGAGCCGATGACTGGTGTTTCAGCTTCTCCAGCACAGGAATATGAGATACTGCTGCTGCTTCAAGTATATGAGTTTCATTTAAATCCAGGGCACCATCATTGATCCTAGACTCATCTTCATCAGACAGCCCCTGAACATCTCCAGCTATCCCATCTCTTACTTCCTTTAGTTCATTCCGGCCATCATCATTAAGCTCTGCTTCCCTCTTCCTTCCCACCGCATCCAATGGGCTCACCTTTTGGTGTGTCCCTCCCATCAACCAGATTCAAAAACACCACTGATGAAGTAGGCGTTCCACTGGACCACCCACAAGAACTCCTTCACAGAGAACTTATACATTACTTTGTCTTCAATATCTCACCACATATATCCAAACCACTCCCACCTATCCCCGGCAAGCAAAACAAAGGCGCGGACGCCAAACCAAAACATCCGATATAATAGGGCGAAAACCCAATTTAAGCAAATCCATAAGCATGCTATCAGCAAAAAAACAGAATCGCCAAATAACCTGTTCTAAACACAAATTTCAAACCAATAATCATTAAACCACTTACCACACGGCGAAGCAAACCGCCGCAGCACCTCCGAATTTCTGAAACCAAAAATCACCTCGATACATAAGCACCAAGCAAGAAATCACCTCCAGAGAAATTAAACAAGATCTGGAACTATCAATCGTTCTACCATCATCGACAATCATATAATATATACATAAGAAAAAACCAAAACCAACAAAACTAAAAAAAGTAGATAAGCAGTATGAACACCTTCTCCTTCGAGCTGAATGGAAAGCCCCAAGTCTCGATCCCAAACGAAAAGAAGTATAACCCACCGTATATTAGGGTTTGGAAGCTACTCTCATCTTCAGTGGCAGCAGAAGCTAAGTAAGGATTAAAAGCATATAATAAACTGAAAATACTAGGGTTTTCATCTCGGATTGCACGCTCCTTCCTTGAAACCGATCACGGCCATGAAATTGGAAGAAAATAGCGGAATCAATAGAGAAGAGAAAGGGGAGAGAAAAAAAGTAGAAGAGGAGAGAGAAGCAGGAGCCGGAATGGAGATTTTAGTTTGCACTGCGATGGCGACCGAGAGAGTGACGTGGAATAAATAGAGGTGTTGATCGTCTTGATTGATTATCTGTGGGGCCTACCGGACCCACCCAGCTGGAAGAGAATCAAAAGCACGAAGCTCACCAGCCGCTTTAGGATCCGCCCGATCCTCTCGTGGGACACGTGTCGTCCATTCGAGCCGGGTTCTGATTTTGGGTGAAATCTGACCGCGTTGGTGTAAACGAGTTCTACTTTCTTGACCCATTTGATGCAAAAAGGACAAAATATGTATTCCGTTCAAATGTTTGTATGTTCGGATTATTAATCACCAGCAGTCATGTCGCTCGTTGATGACATATATGATGACATAATCGTCTGTGGATGTGCGATATCCGAACGGAATATTTTCTCCATTTGAAGGTTATTAATTTAGTTCTTACATCATTTATGGTTTGAAATTTATTTTGAATTTTGACTTGGATTGAAATCTGACCGAAACAGACAAGCTCAATTATGAGTTGAAATTTTGCATTGAATTTTTTCGATCCTATTTCGAGTCATATGTGGATCGACTCAAATTGACTCGAGATTGCTTGCAGCATTTTTTATTAACAAAAACTATATCTAAAATGCTAAGTAAAATTGAATACAACAAGTCACGAATCAATTTTGAGCCATTTTCAAGTTGGAATGGATCCAAATAACTCAATTTCAGTTTGGTTTCTATTTTGAGGCGGATTGAGTTAATTTTGAGCTGAAAGTGATCCAAATTACTCAATTTGAGCTAGTTTGTTTTGATTTCAAGCCGGGATCGAGCTTCATTTAATTTTGAGCTAGCCCGAGAAGAAGAACCCAATGCTATCAAAATTAATCTAATTTGAGTCAAATAAAGCTTAGATCAAAGTTTTTCAGACATATTTAGAAGGTTAAACGAATGTAAAATCTAGCAAGTTTATTGTCAAATCAAGTCTCTCGACAAGACGAATCCAACGAGCTCAAGTTTACTAATTTCTGACATCATTTAGGCACTAAAATGTTCATCAAATGTCATTTGATTGAAGGAAGCTCTTCGGACCGTCCGATCAAAGTGGTTTATAATTCTGCATTAATTGCACCTATAACACTATAAATAGAGCCCCACCCCTCTCACGGGAGGAGAGGCTTAAGGCTTGAGAGAAAACTTGAAGTTTTAAGAAGGAGTTGAAGTCCAACAGCACCTTTGTCACCGCTGACTGCTGTCAAGTAAAGTCGATCGTCGTCAATCACTACCAACCGCTGTTGACTGTTGTCGACCATTGTTGACAACTACCGACCGTCATCGAGCACTATTGTCGTCCTCAACCACCATTTATTGTCGTCAATCGCTGACCACCGTCGATCACAATCAATCACCGTTGATCACCACAAACCGGATGCCTTAAGTTGATGTTGTAACTTGAAAAACCCAGTAACCATTTTCTATCCATGGGACAAGAGGTCTCTGTAATCATCAATCTATAATGAACTTTTGCATCTTGCTCATACTTTGTGTTTTTTTTTCTTTATGAATTTTTCACGTAAAAACTTCTGGTGTCATTACTGATTATTTCATTTTCACTCTAGTGTGGGTTGAATTCTTGTGCAACGCTAAGATAATAATTCATTTCTCTACCGCCACAAACTTTCTAGCACGCATCATACGGATCAAACATAGCTTTAAAAATTTTCTATTAAAAAATAATTAAAAAATGAACAATTGGCTAGCAAATATTAAAAATTTATCCACTAGAAGAAAATAAATACAAAAGTAATATATTTAATAATTTATACCTAAAAATTGAATTTCTTAATGTTAATTTTTTTTAAAATGAACCGCAGATGAGCTGATGAGTTGACTCATTAACTCATTGAACTCAGCTCGAGCCGTCTCATGAACTATAAATTTCTTTTATTTTTAAGGAACATGAATTATTTATTTTTTTTTAAATCTAACATCTTAATTTTTTTTTTTTTCATTCATTATTAATATACTACATAGATATTTATAAAAATAGAAAATAAATGGTTTTGAGATGAAATGACTGAAATAGCCTCTAATCGGATGGCACTTGGTCTTTGTCATTGTCTTACCATTAATAATTAATATATAAAGATATTTTGTATAGTTAATGAACTGTTGGAATGAACCTGTTTAGCGCCTAATTTTAAATAATATCCGATTAAATAGTTATTTATTTTATTTTTTTTTTGATGAAAAATAGGTGTAAAGTGAAAGAAATATAAGAGTTTTAAATTTTTATTGTTTGATTAACATCAAACCCGACGTAAAATTAAAATATCGTAGAATTTATAATTCCCAAAATCGATAAAAAGCTCGACATTAAAAATACATCGTTTGACCCATCAAACACCTTCAATTACCTCGCTCGTCATTTTCTTCAAAAGAGAAATTCTCGATGTATTTAGTTAGGGCTGTCAAAATACCTCGTTATTCACGAGCAATTAGTGTTCGACTCATTAAATAGCTCTTGTTCGATTCGCTCGCTAAGTTAACGAGCCGAACATGAATAATTTTTTTGCGTTCGATTTATAAACTAGCCTAATACGAGCAAAAATGTGTTTGTTCTTTTATTTGGTTAAGACATGTTCTTAGTTCTCATCCATATTAAGTTTATCTTCTTTTTTTTTTTTTTTTTTGTTAAAAAGCAAAACTAATGAAAATATTATGGGGGCATTCAAATACATAGCACACAATTCTTTTGTATTTATATATCTCACACCTAAGCTTTTATATTTACACAAATAGCGCTCAAATATTTTTTATAAAATACAAAATAGTACTATTTATTACTTCTTAAAAGCAAAATGCACCTCATGCAAATGTTTAAAACACCAAAATACTACATATGTAAATATGAAACTTCGTAAATCTAAAAGCTACACTCAGGATGTGTAAGGGACGACGGTGTGGTGTTGCACAACAGTTTTTCATGTCTGGTAAAACTATTCTTCGCATATGTTCTCAAAAAATTGCACCTGAACTATGCATTTTCCCACCAGACTTGGCAGCCTACGACGGTTACTAGAAAGCTGTGGTATTAATTTTTAAGGAAAGAAAAAAAATTATAAAAGCCGTTGTAGCTTTTTGAACAGATGCTTCTTCAAATAGTTGGAATTGCCCCCAAACAGACCCTTAGACCGTATAACCATAGGCAAGATAGATGATGTCAAACCTAAAGATGACCACATCATTAGTTTTATTAGTGAAGAATCAAGTGTTTCATTTATTCTATATTATCTAAATAGAAAAAAAAATTTGGGCCCTTTAACATGATCACCACCCAATTTTGATTTGTGTGGATGTCTAGCACATAAACTTCTCTTTCTACATTTCTACCGCCCATATTTTTTATATCACATAAAAAAATATCACTATTATAACTTTTAATAGATAATTCCATTCAGACCACCCGAAACACTGATATTAACAAATTAAGCGCCCAAGCGATTTTTTTTAAACTACCGAACCATGTATTTACGCGTGTCAAGATCAAACTATCGAGAATTTGATAAAAAAAAAATGAAAAATATATGTTGGAATTTTACCATGAATTTTGATATTTGAGCGAGAACTTAAAAAATGGACGAACGAGGGCAGTTGATTTATAAATAACAAGTTTCAATGTTAGATAATGGATTAGAATTTTATTGAGCATTGATAATTGGGAGATAATTGCTGGATACAAATACATAAGAATTAAGCATTATATCCTTGCAAATGTTAAACAAAAAAAGAGGATTGTATCAGAATTTATAACTTAATTGCTCTTTTTATATATCAGGAGAAAGGCAGTACCTTTGACCATGGAATGAAAATGACTCATTGTATTTAAAGCTGATCACAAGGCTTCTTTCTTCAGAATAAACTCCACAGCCTCCTGAACGTTTTCTACTACCTGCATTAAAAGAAGATTGCTCGCTCAAGCTCGGCTCGTTTTTACATCCCTAGTCGTAACATATCCACCACCTAAACTTCAACATACGCCGAAAATATAGGCATCGGGTGGTCTATGCATAAGAGATTGAGATTTGAGTGGTTGATGTGTTTGGAAATTGGGTGGTAGATATGTAAAGGCCCATTTTAAAAAACAAAATTAAGGAAATAAAATTATGACAATCAGACCCTTGGTTGATGGTAGTAGATGGTAAATAAGTAAAACTGATGCACATTTCAAGAGAATTTTCAGCTTACCAAATCTGCAGGATAATCTTGGTGGTTGTCTCTACCCTTAAAAACTCCAGTTCTTGTTAGTATGGAGAACCAAGGACGCCCTGCCTGCAAGCAGACAATGTAAACATTTACATAAATACCATCTAATTCCTATATATTTACATATCTAATACCTAAACTCTACTTTTTACGTCTATACAACCCAAATCTTCCGTATCATGTCAAAAATATAATTATTTTAACTTTTAAAAAGTGGAATGGTCCTTTTCATTCATAGATAAGGTGGCATATATGTAAAAATTGAATTCTAGATGTTAGATATGTAAATCATAAAATTTGAGTGGTGTGTATGTAAATCTTCCTAATTACTATATAATTGCCAGTGTTGCATATCATTTTAGTTAAATAATTCGATTTCATGCAGAAAGAATAAGATAGGAAGATTGGCTGTAGGACAAATATGAAGCATATATTGTCTTGGTATTTTACTTTCATTATCATAATATTTCTTTTATGGTTGTTTTTACTCTTTAGTTTAATCATAATGTGCAATAATGTTATTTTTCCATTTACATACATATCTTCCAATTCCAATATATTTACATATCTAACACCTAAACTCTACTTTTTACATTCATACCATTTATATCACATGAAAAAATACCATTATTTTAACTTCGAGAAAATGAAAAACACTTTTTCATGCATACGTAAGTCGGCATAAATGCAAAAATTTAAACTTATGCAAATACATAGGAATTAAGTGGTATATATGTAAATCTTCCAAACAATACATTCTAACTCAACTAGAACATAAAAGCAAACTTACTTTGGATATTTTTAAATCAATCTTCTCAATGTAAGTTTATTGATTTCAATTGAATAATCAGAGTAATCCTCCTAACAGCATAGGAATAATTATTTACCTAAAATCTAAAGCACTGAAAAACCTTATAGCTCATGATGTAATCAAGTCAAATCTAGATGATTTTTGTGAAGCTAAACATTATTATAAATAGTCGTTTACGTACATTTTGATGCACGGGTTGATGCACGGGTAAGATCGCAAGTACGCAAAAAAAGAAGTTTAGGTTTCATATTTGTAAATACATAGGAATTGAGTGGTATATACATAAACCTTCTTATTATTAACTGCCTGCAGTATCCACAGAGTGATCTTGCTGAACAAAATAAAATGTAGAAATAAGCGGGGAAACACAGAAAGAAATAGGCTTAGACAAACCTCAGCAGCACCGTCGATGTCGACGATCGGATTATCACCGATCATGTAGATAGAACGAAACTGGTTTTCCTTCGTGTCATCCACAATATCCAGTTCGCCACATATGGTGGATGCAACTCTCATCAAAACCGATTCTGCATTCTTGAATACAAAAGGATTTGGTTTTCCAAAAGATGTATAATGCAGAGGTCTGTTATTAACTCTGCAGTTTCAAAATAGAATATGAGGCAGCGAAATATTTCTGTAATTATATCATTGTATAAAGTGTCAAAATAGTCCCCTGACTATTTACAAGGGGCATTTTAGTCTCTGAGCTTAAAAAAGTGTCAAATTAGTCCTCGGACTCTTTTAATATGGCTTGAAAATAGAACATGCAGCAATAAAATATTTTCACAATTATATTATTGAGTAAAGTGTCGCAATAGTCCCCTCACTATTTACATGAGGTTATTTTAGTCTCAGAGTCTAAGAAAGTGTCAAATTAGTCCTCGGACTCTATTAATATGGGTTGAAATCCTCATGGTGGACTATCTTTGCTCCCACTAAAAAAGTATGGGGGCTAATTTATCGCTTTTATATACTCTTGGACTAAAATGAACATCTAAAAGCAGTCAAGGGGTAAGGATTATGATTAACCTATTGAAGATGCTTTCCAGTGCTATTCTGAAAGCACCCATTCCCAAGCGTTCAGAAGGAAATGCAGCCTGCATAAAGTTCATTATTGTTTCAGCTTCCTTCTGATTTTGATAGAAGCCAGAAAAAGTATAGAAAATAGAAAGATTTATATGCATACCATACATACCACTCAATTCTTATGTTTTTAAATATCTAACACCTCTACTACAATTTTTACATACATATGAGAATATATATGTATATATATATACATATATTGAAAATGTGTATTTCACTTTTAAAGTTAAAATGATGATATTTTTTATGTGCTATGCAGAATTAGGTGGCATAAACGCAAAAAAGTAATGTTTATATGTTAGATTTATAGTACTGCCCGAAACTAATGCCAACAAAAAAAAAATTCATAAGACTGTGCTGATAGAATCCAAAAAGGTAAAGAAAAAAAAGAAATTACAAGCATGCCACTCAATTCTTATGTTTTTACATCCCTAATGCCTAAACTTCGCGCGCACATGTACACATATATATATATATATACCACTTTACACATGCATGAAAAAAGTTGTATTTCACTTTTTTTAAATTAAATTGCTGATATTTTTTTATGTACTATGAAAGATTTAGGTGGCATAAATGTTAAAAAGCAAAGTTTTGCTGTTAGATATATAACATTGTTTGAAACCGATGCTAGGACAAGAAGAACTTCGTAAGTAGATATCGATAGAAGTAAAAAAAGTAAAGAAATACAAATTTACATATCTAACACATAAACTTCAATTTACATATATACTACCTTACATATGCATGAATATGCGCATTTGACCTTTTTAAGTAAAAAATGGTGATAGTTTTGATGTGCTAAAAAAATATTTAGGTGGTATAGATGCAAAGATCAAAACTTAGTCGTTAGATGTGTAATATTGCTTGAACTAATGCTATTACAGGAAGATATTTGTAAGTAGATAATGATAGAAGCTAGAAAAGTAAAGAAAAAAGAAAGATATACATACATAACACTCAATTCTTATGTATTTACATATATAACACCAAAACTACAATTTTTAAATATATACCATCTTACATATCCATGAAAAGGTGTATTTCACATTTTTAAAGTTAAAATGGTGATAATTCTTATGTGCTATGAAAGATTTAGGTGTTATAAACGTATAAAGGTAAAGTTTAGATGTTAGAAGTATAACATTGTTTGAAACTAATGCTAGTACAAGATCTTTATAATTAGTTATTCCATTCACCTGATACTGTAGATCATCTGATGCAAAATATAAAGCAGGTTGGTGTCCTTTTGCTTTACCGGGGAGACCGCCGCAGCTTAAAATGTCACAAAGAACCTAAAAGTACCTGTTAATGTCATCTCCAAATTCCAATAATTGTAATTGCTCGTAATAATGTGAATAAAACTGAAAAAGACTATTAAAAACTCGAGGTGAATACTGATTGTTCAGTCTAATAGCACTAAGAACAAAAGATGTAATTATGCACACAGCCTTCATTATACAAAAAAGAAATTAAAAGAAAAGTATTGCCCTTCTCCCATTTTCACAAAGCTTCGAGGTAGGTGTCCAGAATTATTTCTTTATAGCTTTTTTTGCTCGATTGCAATTTTCATTTTTCTCTAGTGTATTTTAATAAATGTCTATGATGCTTAAATTATTATCTAGTTTTTCTTAAAAAAAGGACATTTACATAGATACCACACAATTCTTGTATATTTACCACCTAAATTTTCATATTTACATACATAACACTCAAGTCTTTGATATCATATCAGAAATATCACTATCACTAGCGTTTTAAAAATGAAATACACATTTTTGTGCATAAACACCAAGATGCTATAAATGTAAATATCCAACTTTAGATGTTAGATATGTAAAAGAATAAGTATTGTGTGGTGCATATGTAAATTTCCCTTAAAAAAAATTACTTGCAGTGCGCTTTCATGCTATTGCGTCAACCTTAGCTTAGGAGAGTAATATACAGGCACAAGCACTCGCATGTAATGTTAAACTAATATCTTACATATTCACAAATCTACTAAAAAATGATTTTTATGGCTATCAAATTAAATCAAATATAGGGACTCTCAATGGTAAATTAATGGAATTAGTTGATACTATGATTCATTGGAAAATTAATATCTTATGTATTCAAGAAACTAAGTGGGTTGGAGAAAAGGCTAAGGAGATTGATAATTTAGGTTTTAAACTTTGGTATTCTGATAAGTGTCGCACTAGAAATGATGTAGGTGTAATTATAGATAAGAGTTTGAAAGATAATGTTGTAAAAATTAATAGAGTTGGTGATAGAATTATAGCCCTTAAGATTATCATTGATACTAAGATTTTTAATATTATAAGTGTTTATGCTCCTCAAGTAGGTTTAGATACAGAGTCTAAAGATAAATTTTGGAATGACTTAGAAGACTTAATACAAATGATACCTCTTGAAGAAAGAATTTTTATTGGAGGAGATTTAAATGGACATGTCGGTAGAGTGGTAGAAGATTTCAGAAATATTCATGGTGGCTACGGTTTTGGAGTAACTAATGAAGAAGGTAAAGTTATTTTAGATTTTGCTTTAGCGTTTGATTTTGTTATTACTAATACTTTATTCAAGAAAAGGGATGAACATCTTATTACTTATAAGAGTGGATCTAATAAAACACAAATTGATTATTTTCTTATGAGAAGAGATCGTCGTGATTGTATAGATTGTAAAGTCATTCCAAGTGAAAATTTAAATACCCAACATCGTTTATTAGTTTTAGATTTTAAGATTAAGAGTTGTAAAATAAAAAATACCAGGACTCATCATTGCAGAATTAGATGGAGAAACTTAAAAGATACAAATAAAATTAATTTTATGAGTAAAATTCAAGATTTCAAAATTTGGGATATTCATGAAAAATCAAATGTGATGTGGGATAAAGTAACAAACGCTATTAAACAGGTAGCAAAAGATGTTCTTGGAGAATCAAAGGGAAAAATATTTACAAATAAAAATAGTTGGTGGTGGAATAATAATGTGCAAGAAAAGATAAAATATAAGAAGTTATGTTATAAAAATTGGTTTAAATGTAAAAACTTAGAGAACTAGAGAAAATATCAAACG